ACCCACTGGGCTTCTTCCAGTTTTCCCTCCCATGTCCAAGTCCCTTCCTTAAACTTATATACCCATAATAATACCTTGATGATCAGTTTACAATCTCATTTCTTTCAAAAAGCTTTTTTTCAGAAGGTATATTTTTCCCTTTGGATTACTTTCTCAAAATCTGTCTTCTTGACTGACTTTCAACATAATCATCTTTATATAGTCAGATCTTAGCGTAATTCCTAAGCACCCATTCAGTGAAATACTTTAAATGAATAAATTACAGAAATGACTAGCAAGAAACAACTACTTTTTCAGATGAGGTGGGTTTTTTTTCCCCAGAAAAATAGGGATGATACTATCCATCTTACAAGTGTGTGTAAAGTAGCCATATAAAGACTTAGCACAACAGTAGTAATATCTGATGAATGTTAACTATTATTATTATTACAGTTAAAGTAATCATCTTTAAACATTCTTAGGATTATTTTAGAGATAATGACATTGCTTAAATATTTGAAAATGGGAAAAGACAAAGTCACCAAGGAAAAAAACCCAGGAAGAGAAGACTTGGCCCAGAACTTAGATAATGCATATCTGCTCTGCTCATATTTTGAGGGACATGAAGAGAAAAAAGAATTAGTGAAAAATATAGGGAAAAGATAGCAGATAAAAGACAGGTAAATTCCATGCCACAGGCTACTGAATTCCCTTTGTAGTGACAAATCTTCTCTCTCTGATTATCAGATTGAATACTTAACATTAATAGAAGCCATTGTATCCAAATCTGTTTAAGCAAGAAATCAAATTTCTTAAGATTTTTAACATCAAAATAATGTATGATGATAAGGAAATTATAGTGACTTTCCCTCTGTGATCAGGGAAGGCTTCTTGGAGGATATTCAACTTAAGCTGAATCCTAAGGGATTTAGGATAATCCGTACAGAATAAAACTGTGGAGGCAAGAGGGATTTTAGATGGTGAAACAGCATAAACGAGGGCTTTAGATACAAAATTCACTTTCAGAACAGAAAGTAGACCAACTTTGTGGATATCACCAAAGATAAGTAGGAGATGATTTCAAAACAACACTTTGAAGTCCAGGTAGGAGGAAGCTCAAATGCCAGGGTAAAATGTTTAAATTTTACGCTATAGAAAGTAATGCCTTGTCAGCTGAACATTCATACAATGAAAGTGATATTTTGGTGAAACTGATATAGTAATGCTGTCCACAGTGTGTAGAAGGGGAGGTATCAGGTAAGAGGTAGATTCCATGGTTTAGGGTAGAGATTACGTTATAAAAGGTTAAACTGGAGAGATAGGAGTGAGAATGAAAAACAGCATTGTGAAATTACAAAATAAAAGGTGAATAAGGAAAGCATATATACACACACACACACACACACACACACACACACACACACAGGGAGAGAGAGAGAGAGAGAGAGAGAAAGAGAGAGCGAGGGAGAGGGATCAGAGAGTAAAAGAGATGGCAGAGACGATTCTTATGTTTCCAGCTTGAACAATTTGGAGGAAAATAATGACATTTATACCAACATATGGGTGTGATATTTTGTCACTGACATTAAACTGAATTGCCAAGACACAGCTTCAAAAGACTACTGATTATCCCCTGGGAATGGTGTCTCTGCTCATCAGTTAGTTATCAATAGCCGATGTTGGCAGCTTCCTGGTAGGAAAACAGGCAAATCAGAAAAGTGAGAGGGATAAGGCAGAAGTACAAGCTTAGTATATCTGAACAAATAATATTAATTACCAGTATTATATTGAAATGGAATAGTTCTGCTTAAAATTTTACCATGATTTTTAACAAATGTAGAGCTTTTTTCACTTTGTACAACATGCATTTATTGAATCCTTACACTGTGCAAGGCATAGTGAGGGGCAGGCAAAATATAAATCTTATCTAAGTAACCCAAAGCCCTTTCAGAGGTCAGAAAAGGGGAAAAATCTACAAGTAAACCTCACAAGGTAGATGCTATTTGAATGTAGTCTTAAGGACATAAAAGATTGTGAAAGACTTAGGTGAGAAGGAGTGATTTTCAGCTAGACTGGGATGGTATGGGAAAATATTCATCCGTAACAAAATATAAGAAATTTGAGGGGCAGTGTCTACCTCAGTGGGGATACAGGGCACACGGAGAGGAGAAAAATGTATATATAGGTTTGGACAATATTGTATAGGTCACGAATGCCCAGATCGGGGCTTTGGACTTTTTAAGTAGAGAATGAGGAGATACTGAAGGTGTTCAGCTCTGATTAAAACAATAAGGCAGCACTCTGCACCAGGCACACACTGGCCCTGCTATCAGTGGAAACTCACCCAATGACTGAAGGCCTAAAGAAGTTAACTTGTGATATTTACCTTTATGGGGGATATAAAGTTTAACAAATTGCAGACAACACCATTAAAGAACGAACAGCATAGTTGGAGGAGGAAACGGGCAACATATATTCTCATATCCCCACAACACAAGATGGGATTTATGAAACAGATTATACTAGATGCTCAGAAACCACTACAAGATCTTGGTAATACCCACTACTCATTGATTCCGTCTATGAGGCAGGCACTATACTAGATTCATGACATGTTATCATGCCACCTCCCCGCTCAGAACACTTCAGTGTCTTCCCATTGCTTCTAGTAGAAAGATAAGAACCCCTTACCAAAGCACATAAGCCCCCCAAGACTTGGCCTCGACCTCCTCTCTCAACCTGGTCACAGGAACTTTTTTCTCACACCCTGCACCCCTGCCATGCAGGTATGAGGCTCTTCAAACACAACCAATTCTTTCTTGCCTCAGGGATTCTGCATTTGTTTATTCTGCCAGAAATGGTCTTCCCCAGATTCTTAGAGAACCTGCTTCTTCTCATCCTTCAAGTGTAAATATAAAATAATACTATTTATAGTATTAGTATAATACTAAGACTACATAGAAAGTATAGAGTATTTTCCCCAAATATAGAAAGCACCTGGCACATTGCATACCCCCAAATATTTGTGGAATCAATGATTGTATGGATCATCTCACTTTGATTCTTGTAACCACTCAGTCAAGAATGGCCAAGCTTCAAGATAATAAAGCAGAGCTTGAAAATATGAAAGTAACTCACCCCAGGCCAGCAACATCATAAGTGTTAGAGCACAGATTGGAAAACTATTCTAAAGTCTTACCAGTACGCCACACCATCTTCCTGTATGAAGAAGCAGAAATTGATTCCTTTGAGGAAGTTGCAGCATTTCATCTGGAACTTTGACGGAGGACCTGAAAGGATGATCAAAGAAATACAAAGCAGATGTAATCTGGATCCCTGAGTAGCTGAAATCGCTAAAGAAAGAAAATATCAGTGAGCAAATAGTGGCCTTTGATGATTCTTTTCAAAATAAAGTTTTTTTCTTTTGTTCTTTTCCTACAATGATAATACTGGAATAGTTTGATATTACTTATCTCATTTAGTCCTTAAAACACTTTAAGACAGATGTTATTATTATCCTCTTTTACACCACAGAAATCAAAAATTGAAGGAAAACTATAGAACTTGCTTTATTCATATGAATAGCAAATAAGTAGTAGAGGAGAGATTTTTTTTTTTTTTTTTTTTTTTTTTTTTT